TATATTAGAAACTTATATTTATTATAATTGTTATTATAGAAAACTAAAAATAAATATCACAATGTACCCGAAGTTCTTCATAATATTTTACATACACAAGGTTAACTTTAATACTTATAACATTTTTCAAGTAATAATAATAATATTCCTTGATAATTTACTCAACGATTCATAATAATTTACTAGATAACTGATATAGATATTCTTTTTTAAATACATACACATTACAGAAAAAAAGGATCTAGGAAACAAACAATCATATTTATGAATACAAATGTTTGTACCATGCGAGGAGTTGAACCCGCGACAAAGTAAAGCAAAGAGGTGTGCTATACTGCCAAGACCGTAATACTATAAATACATAAATAAATAAATTATAAATCGTTTTATTTTATGTCATTTTTAGGTCGTTAATATATACACTGTTCTCATTTACCTAATTAGTTTCTTGCTTACAAAAGTTTCTGATCTATTAGGTTGGCTCTTAGTTAGACAGTTCCGGTAGATTGTTTCAAGAATTCGTCGTTTGTTTTCGTAGAGGTTAATTATTAAGTTCTAGTTAACGGTATATATACAGTTAGTATAGATTATAATATGTAATTATACGAAGTAAGTATTGTAGAATAATATTATTATAACAAACACATTGTTCGATTTGGAACTGTACAATTAACCTCTACGAAAACAAAAGACAAATGTATAATGATAGCAATATAAAGTTATTACAATTTTTAGTGATGCTTTTATTAATATTAATATTAAAAATGTTTACATTATCGAATGTAAATTAAAAATTTCAATTATAAAAAAATATAAAAGGTCACGTACATTTTTTGTTTGATAATCTCCTTTAGAGCTAAGATTAGTTAGCTAATTTCTTAAAAGCGTTCGCTTTTTACAGATTTAATGGAGTGGTGGATTATTTGTCTCTATCTTGGCATAATTTATCTGGCCGAATTAAGCCTCAAGCGGAAAATCTCACTGAAAAAAATGGCTGCCGATAAAATGAGAACAAAAAGATTTTTTTTAACGAAAACACGCGCAAAAGAAATGTTGAGATATGAATAATGGGAATCATTGTAGAAATGTATAAAAGGAGCGCTGGAACGAAATAAGGGTAATGATTGCCCCGAAGTTGATTTAATGCTTACCCTTGATATAATTTGGTAAAGTTTTAACACGAGACGACTACAAATATATATAAAAAAGTCCAATAATATGATAATAATAATAATTCATTCATTTTATTATATTTCTAAACCTTCCTCTTGAATCACTCTATCTATTAAAAAAAACCTGCTTCAAAATCCGTTGCGTAGTTTTAAAGATTTAAGCATATATAGGGACGGATAGACAGCGACAGTGACTTTATTTTATACTATGTAATAATGACTAGCCGGGCAACTTTCATTGCATCAAATTTTCTTAACATTTATCATTATATTCCGGTTAATTTAGATAAAATCTTAAATTATAGCCTATATATTAATCTGATAAGCACTGTATCTCTGTAATCTGTAATCTAATATTACTGTAAAGTTTCATCAAAATCTGTTCAGTAGTTTTTGAGTGAACAAGCATCCATCTATCCATATAAACTCTCGCGTTTATAATACTAGTAAGACTAGTAAGATACTGTATAATACCCTTCAGTCGTAAAGATGGTTAGGTTATAACTTAATGTTGAGGTAGAAATTTAGGGGTATGTAGATACAAGACCGCAGTCTATGCTGTAGAGGAATTGTAAAAGTTTGCAATTAATCGAATTATATTAATCACACGAGAACACCAAAATTCATCGCTAATTGAATCCCAAGTAAAATTTGGCAAATTTTAGGCCGGCAATATCCAAACTAATTTGGGATGAGCACAGAAACTATTAGTTGCTTAATTACGGACTCGACACACGGTTACTTAGATTTCTAGCATTTAATGGCATTTGTACATGATTATTATTTCAATCACAGATTTGATTTTATCTATCTGTTTACATCTTAACATTATATTTGGGGATGAGCATATTAACTATTAGCTGTTTGATTAAGGACACTGTTACTTAGATTTATAGCATTTAATGGTATTTGTACGTGACTGTTATTACAATCATAGATTTGATTTTATCTATCTGTATACATCTTCACATCATATTTGAGATGAGCACATGAACTATTAGTTTCCTAATTAAGGATACGACACATTGTTACTTAGATTTCTAGCATTTAATAGTATTTGTACGTGACTATTATTGCAATCACAGATTTGATTTTATCTATCTGTATACATCTTCACATCATATTTGAGATGAGCATATGAAGTATTAGTTGCCTGATTAAGGACATAACACATTGTTACTTAGATTTCTAGCATTTAATGGTATTTGTACGTGACTATTATTAAATCATAGATTAGACTTTATCTATCTGTATACATCTTGACATCATATTTGGGGATGAGCATATATATACGTGTATATAATAACATGATCGAGTACATAACACTTAGATTTACAGTATTTTATGACTTTGATATCTGTATTACTATTTGTCTACATTTTCACATCATATCTGATGGTGTTCTCTTATATTATCATCATTTATTATTATTATAGTATCAAACTTTAATTGTTAAAACAGAATTCAATTCCGATAATGTACACATATCAAACTTTGCGTTCGCATTTAAAGTTTCACTATCGATATAGTATTACGGCGTAACACATCGCCCGTGTGTTCACTGACCGCGTCACGTTTGCTTACATAATTAATAAGATAGTTATCAGGGTCTAAAAGCACTTAAAGCAAGTGCCAATTCCCTCAAACTGGCTTGACGTATTTGCATGATGAAACGCCGTAACCACTATCCACTATAATTGCTTCCCTACAGTGATGCGAGATGAGTTTCAGAACTGAAAACATCTGCTACCAGCGCAAGATGAATAGAATAACTAGGACTAACATTGAATCGTATCTTTAAAATAACAACTCATATTTGTATGCCATATTGTTTCCAGTGTACCCCTGTCTACCCACGAATCCTTCTAGAAACCGTCACGGTTAATTTGCTATATAGCTCTAGTTGCTTAGATTTCACCTTCACTAATAGGGATACTCGTGTTTGGCCATCGTACATTTTTTTTAGTATTTAGAATCTATACATATAAATAAAATTGGAGTGTCTGTTTGTAATATTGAAATAACCGTTTTTTACTACATGCATATGAATATAAATACGGTACATATATCAAAATAATTTTTTTACTATTTTTGTCTGTCTGTCTGTTCCGGAAAATCTCTGAAATGGCTGGACCGATTTTGACGGGACTTTTATTGGCAGGCAGCTGATGTAATAAAGTAAAGCTAAGTTACTCAGGCTACTACTTTTATTTTAGAAAAAATCTTTTATTTTATATAAACAAAGTTAAATTCCACGCGGACGAAGTCGAGGGTACAGCTAGTAACAAATAAATTGACGGCTCAGCTAATACCTAATAATAAGACGCAACCCAGTTATATGTATATACATGATCAGTACTGATATCATGTAACACCCCTTATACCACTCATGCGTTGCTATCCCAGAGATCTAAAATGTTATGTCTTTTATCCTGTAATTTCAACATGATGTACAATGTACTAAAAATATACAGTCACAATTATTGTTATTTATTATGTAATAAGAAAGTTTGTAAGTATGGATATTTGTTATTCTATCACGCAAAACCTACTGAACAGATTTTGATGAAACTACAGTAATATAGCTTATGCATCAGAATAACACATAGGTTATATTTATATTGAAATTTAACGCGGGTGAAATTGTGGGCACAGCTATTACATAAATATAGCATTTAAAATCCTATATATTATATATCTCTAGAAATAAATAGCTTATCAGTCGAAAGTCCACGCAAGAGTTAACGGAATGGTGCGTACAGACGAACGAACCCAAAATCTGCCCATTTGTATTCTATGTCTGAACAACGAATTCTATCTCGAAGGTATTGGAGTTTCGCAAGTTTCTAGAGGCCCAATTAATGACGCGATTAAACTAAATTAGGTTTGAGGCGCGAACGACCAATTCCTACCCGGGTCTGTCGGATGCGATGTATGATAAAGGATTTTGAACCGTATAACGGGTGATTAAGATTGTGATAAGAATTATTGACGGGCATAGTATCTCAGTTAGAGAGAGTTTGGGATACATGTAGGCTTTGAGTAATTGTTAGATCATGTACGAAGTAATTTAAAGTAAATTAAAATTAAATGGAAAATAGTTTTCCTAAGAATACACTTTTTTTAGTTGTTTTGTTGTGTTGTATATCTAAAATTAATATTATTAAATGAAGCGGAAAGATTTGTTTAGTCTTTATACAAAGTTTAAAAACGAAAATCCACTGATTATAGATAACTACATTAAATAGAATTAAAACTAATACGACATTAATTATAGTTAGTTACAAAATATAACTCTGGGTGGGTATTAGAACAAAAGTGATTCCTACATTAATTGTAACCGTATAAAACAGGGGCGGATCGCTAGTATAAAATAATATAATATATATGTTTGACATACGATTGTAATGCAAATTACAATGCGGATTTGATAAAAATCGGACGGTCACAGGTTCGATTCCTCGTACAGTACAAACTTTTGATTATGATTATTTGTAGGTACTACTACTAGTCTGGTCTGGTTTTTATGTATATTATGTATGTATTTACAAAAAAGTCGAAGTATTTATATCAGTTGTATAGTACCCAGAACACAAGATCTACTTAGCTTGGGACAAGGCAGCTCTGTAAATTGTCCAGGGAAATTTCTATTATTATTTCAAGTCTTTCTCTTTATTATTACTCTATACCGATATGCATAAGTATTTGTATCAGTTGTCTAGTACCCATAACACAAGCTTAACTTGGTCCTGGATGACGCTGTGTGAATTGTCCAGGGATATTATCATAATTATAATCTTTATTATTAATCTATGCTAATGTACGTACCTGCAAGTTAACGTAAGGTGCGTCTGCCATCACAGTTGGTACAATAAAACCTCCTTCTCCAGTTGACATATCGATGTCTTGACTATAGATGTCAGTTTTGTCGTCGTACAACTTAACTCGAACACGAACTCGTTTCTCGGTGCTCATTGCTTCCACCTGGTAAAAAGAAAAAATATAGGTCTTTACTGTAACTTGAATATCAAAAAAATGAAAGCCCACCTGATGTAAAATGGAATTAGTCACCAATATTAGTATTGAAGAGAAATATTATGTGGACAACAGCAAGTATTGGTAGACATTAGTAAAGTGTAATTCAAAACTATTATTATTATTTATATACGAGTATATTGCACTATTTAAAATATATGAACAATTGGTTTAATGCATTAAGGCAAGAAGCAGTCCAAGGGACTGCCCTTGGACCGTCTTCCGACTACTGAGTCGGAAAAAGCTCACTTTTGGTATTTATATATATACATAACATAAGTACAATGATCTTGGACATTAAAATTTTTAAAACCCACCAGTGACTTATTATTACTTAATTTAATAACTCCAAAATTTTTATCTTAAGACATTTGATGCATACAATCGTAAGTTAAGCATAAAGCAAATTTTGTTTAAAGCAAATCAAGTGATCCTGGAAACTGGCAACAAAAATAAAATGCTGAACGTAAATAAAACGAAACGCCCTTAACCTTTGCAACCACTAAGAACCCAAATTGTCCCCATAAAGATAGGCAGATGTATTTCCTTAAAAGCCACGCTTATCACGGGTGCGGATAAGCCTAACTTCACGACTCCGGATTTGGTATTTAAACTTCGCTTTTAAAGCAAATTACTGTTAGATATGAATCAGATTACAAGTCGCTTGTTGTGTTTATCAAATCAACTTACCTACCTCTTTGAAGACAACATCAAAAATTTATATATATTACATATAATATAAAACCTTCTAATTATAATTCTCATTTTCGAGTAATAATATTTTTTTTTAATACCAAGTGAATGATATATTAAAAACTACAAAAGAAACAAAGCTATGTTTATTTGAACACCTCGTTGGTGAATCAGTTTAATAAAAGGTATGCTAAAGATTATTTCCTTTCCTTTATACCAGTTTTTGCTAATTTCATCCAGGTGAAAAGCAATCTTCCTTCTCAAAATTGGTTAAGGCGTGAAACCATAACGTATAAATGTATAAATTTGCTGTTTCATTATATATAGACTGTATTCTATATACACATATAAAATACAGTCTATATATATATATATTAAGCGATATATTCACGAATTTATTAATTGTTCTTTTATTTCTTATTTATTACTAGCTGTACGCGCGACTTCGTCTACGTGGAATTTTGCAACATAATTTTATTTTTCAAAAATAAAAATAGCCTAAATTAATTCACTTTACTAATCAGCTATCTGCTAACAAAAGTCCCATAAAAATTCGTGCAGCCATTTCAGAGATTAGCCAAAATAAACAGACAGACAGACAGACAAAAATTGTAAAAAAAAATATTTTGGTGTATGCACCGTATTTATATTCATATGCATGTAGTAAGAAACGGTTATTTCAATATTACACACAGACACTCTAATTTTATTTATATGTATAGATAACTGGAATGGCAAAAAAGGTGACGCCTATTATGTTATGCCCGTCATAACATATCATGTCTTTTATTGTGTAATTTGATTGTCTTATCTCACCTTTCAACAGAAACACAGCTTAAGATACAAGGAGCTTGGCAGCTGATAGAATACTTATTAATAATACGTAATACCCTGGATAATTCATACAACGCTAGAGGGCGTTGTATGAATTATCCAGGGTATGAATTGTCCCAAGCTAAGCAGACCTTATGGACACTATCCAACTGATAAATCCTTAGATTTTTTTTAATACGTACATAATATGCATGAAGGAAACCAGACCAATAAAAACAGTCATACTCATTAATATGAATGTACAGTGCGAGGAATCGAACCCGCGACCATTGAAAGTAAAACAATGTGCTAATCCACGTAGAAAGTTATTGCTCACGTAACTGATTTGTTGTAAAATTACCATTATGAAAGAGTATTTTAAAATAGTCACGATTGAAAGATACTTTCTAGTAATATATGCAAAATATTAAATTACAACCATTTTATATTCACGTCTTTGTACCGCAATAATCTCACCAAATGATAAGCAACATCCAAGTTCCGAATTAGCGAAACAAATAACAACCATAAATCATGCTCTTTAATGTTACAAGCTTAGTATCTGTGGTACGAACAATACTAATTCAAAATAGAAAGACTATACCACAGACATAAAGCAGAGATCACATCGATATAAAAGATCTTCGTTAGAATGCCTTCGTAATTTATTATGTTGTGCCATTGCCAAGAATGGGAAGGGATGATGTCGGAATACACTTAAGATAGCAGTTTTTTATTTCATTCTATCTTCAGTTGTATTGAGTATTGCCGTCTCTTTCGTACGTAGTAATTGATTTTCAATATGCATTGTATAAATTTATACAGAATAGTATTTTAAACAAAGGAAATCAGTCAATAAATGTGAGCAATTTCTCTCAATTGCAAAAGAATTCTGAGTTATTAGTTGTTATAAGTCGTTGCATAATGATACTATATATACCATATATATATCATAAAATTGACTACATTCTTTTGTATGTTGGCTAATAGTATAAAAATATCGGTTCAAAAATATTGCTTCCGCTGTCTGTTCTCTTAGATTTTTAATAGTACACATCGGATTTTAATGCAGTCTTTAGCAATAGATAGAGTGATCAAGAGGAAGGTTTATATCTATAATACATATCCGTCCGAAGCCGAGACAGGTAGCTAGAATCTTTAAAGACATAGTTTTAAAGGTTGACCAAAAACGGCTTCTAGATCACAACCTTCAAATTAATATGACTAAAACAAAAATTATCCAATTTCGACCTTACCAGAAAACACCACTAAATTTAACAGACATCCAACTTAAGCATAATATAAAAGAGATACCAGATTTCAACTTACTTGGCCTGACTATAGATACATACGTAAACTGGAAAAAACACATATCTAATACAAAAACAAAACTATCACAATTTATATATGCGTTATCGATGCTAAAAAGGAATACGAATACGCAATGCGCAGTGGCAGCTTATTATGCTTATGCACATGCATGGCTTCGTTATGGAATAATCCTTTGGGGAGAAAGCACAAACGCCGCGGACCTATTCATAACACAAAAAAAGTGCATGCGCGTGATAGCAAACATAAAGCGATTTGACAGTTGCAAACCACACTTTAAAAAATTAAAAATATTAACTTTACCGTCTATTTATATATTGGAGATAGCTGTATTTGTTCATGAGCATTTATCATATTTTAATTTTAAATGTAATAATAGATTAAAAAGCCAACTGGCCCTACCAGAACCTAAAATAGAAATGTTTAGGGCGAGTCCGTATTACCGATCCATTGTAATATATAATAAAATCCCGGAAACCATAAAACAAGAAGATAAAATTAATTTATTTAAAAAAAGGCTTAAACAACTACTGACCGACAAAGCTTACTATACAGTAAAAGAATTTTTAACAGACGTACTATAGGAGCTAACTGGACACTACAACAGATCTAAATTTTAAATTTTATTATTGGAATGAGTCATCTACGAAATTGCCATACTCTTTAAACAGAGTCCATGTGTATTGTTAATTTATCTTATGTAAATTTATGTATACGCATGTGCAAATATAAATAAATAAAAAATAAAATAAAAACGAGTTTTTTTACAGATCTTGAATTAAAATATTTTTTAATACTACAAAGGTCAATTTACGTAGATTAATATAGAAGAGATATATAGTGTATTTAGTATATCTACAAGCATTAGGTCTTCCCTGGTTATCCGGCAAAAGACCTACCTACCCATTTTCGTACTCATCTAAATAAAATATTTGCATAAAAATAAACCAATTTATATGTAGGTCGACAAACAACCTTTGAATTCGAAATAAGTGATTTAATGTGGGAGGAAAAAACGACTTCAATTTACAACCAACACTGCTAAAAAGGCGATGTCCTCAAATCGATGGCATATATTTGTAGACTATTTATTTATCAAATGTACGCGAAGCAAAATTTTTGTCCCCTTTTTACGAAAATTGCGCGGAGGAAGGAGTATGAAATTTCACACTTAGTTTATATAGAAGAGTGCAGAATTCAAATATTTTTTTTAATTACATATAAAAAATACATGAAGTAAACATTATAAATACTACCATATATTTGACACACACACACATCTTTTGTTTATTGTTAAAGTCTGCGGTCAGATTGAGAATAGATTAATATTGTTTATCTTCAATATTATTTGTCTGTAGTCTTATTGAAAGTTAAATTAATTATGACTGAATTCCTACTACCGGGCCACTGGGAAAAATAAAAATAGATGCATTTATAATGTAGGTCGCCAAAAAAGATCAGACTGTTAAAAAAGTTAGCGAACATTCTCGAATCCCGACTATTTGCTGTATTCAACTTTTAAAGAACACGAATAAAATAAAACGTCCGTAGTTGAGAGACAGTTTAAAATTTCAGTGATTTTAGCATTTGGTTGTACCTATCTGTTTTTATTTCGTTCAGTTGGCTGGATCGCTGCTTGTGAAGTTCTCGGTAGAAAAACATAAGTTTAACGAAACAATCCTCTAACTTTGGCATCCATTCTAATGCAATTTCTTTTAAACAACGTTGGTATCAATCAGATATAGAAAGGAAGATAAATCATTGATCTGTTTATTAGATCAGATCATTAGACTTACCTGATGAGTAATCTATAGTAACTTGTATCATACTTGTGTGTTACAGTTTGACAATTGAAGATTAATTAATTGAATCATTTTTTTAAGAGCAGGGCTCTCAGTTCTGTAACCTAATTTGGACTTAATTTACTTTTTGTACTATGGCACTTCATCAAGCATTCTAGTTACAACTACTAATTGATGATTTTGAACAAAAACTTACGTTACGTAGCGTCGGTATTAGATTTAGGAAGCAATGTATTGATAATCTAAAAGACAATATTGGCAGTACGCGGAAATGTAACCAGAATTATGATTCCGAAAGTAAAGCAGACTGTCTTACTTTCATTCAGTCCCTATAGAAGTAACGTCGTCAATGACGATCAGTATAATTATCATTAGTCGACACCATGGGCTTCCCAAATTCAATTCGTATCTGTCATGCTGTTTAAGATATATATTTGGCATTGTTAACTTACCCGTCCAACAAAGGGTAGCCCGGGCTTATACCGCCGACGCATGCTATCAGCAAATCTGAGCTCCACGTAATGCTGTTCAGCTGCAGGTGCCGCTGATGCCAAGTTACCAGCTTTAGCACCCACTACAAGTTCCACTCGAGCTGAACCGCCTCCACAACGCGCTTCAATCTTCCAGGTACCTGAACGTGCTCCCGTTGCCAAAATAGCACTTAGTTTTCGGACCCCTGCAGACAAAAATTATACTCATAAACTTTTGTCACGGTTGTTTACAATTGTACACATTATATTTTTTTAATACTAAGATGGTGCCAAACAGGCATAGGGCCCATCGGATGATAAATGATAACGTAGCGCATTGCCAACCCTAAACATAAGCGAGAAATTCTAAATTTGTTTATATCATATGTATAAATAAATACATAGAAAACATATATTGATACAAACAAGCATACTCATTGTTTAAATTATTAACCGGGTCTTAATACGAATCATTTTTTGACAAATAAAGTAAGCATACTCATAACTACAAATGATTTTACCATATAATGAATCGAATCGGTGACAAATGGAGGTAAAGCGGTATGCTAAACCACTAGAACTAGACCATAACTCAGCTAAGTAACAATCTAACAACTTATCTGGTGAAGAATAGCCGGTTTCTTATAGGGAAGAACATCTAAGATATGATGTCTCTACATGTCAACTATACATAATCATAAATAATGATTCAGAAATCTTCTTTTGATGAGACAGCTTTCCGAATTAGCAATTAAAAGAAACAAAAGTGCTTACTATTCTTTCTATTCTTCCTTAGAGCTACAGGAGCCAAAACAGCAGTTTATCGAACTACAAGAAAATTTCATATTCTGTACGAAACAATGGTTGGTACTACAACTAATAATTACTATATGAAAAGAAAATTTCCAAAATTAGTACTAATAAGAGACATGCTTCTTATTAGTACTAATTTAGGAATACGAGAATTTCGAACAATACATAACTAAACAAAAGGATATCAACAAAATAGAAATTACTCTAAAAACATTTCGAAATGTTGGCATTGAGAAGGCGTGTCATCCACATTTTAAGCAAAACATAATTCAACGGTCGCTCCTAAAACTAACAAACATTGTAACGTAAGTTAGAACGTGGTTCCACTATCAAGTTTTTGCTATCCGATATGACATGTGACTTTAAGAGGGTCCGCGAATATAATTAATCAAACTGAAACTCCAAGGGACCTTTCGGTGACGGGTTGCGATGTTATTTCTCATGTGATGTGTTCACATTATTAATTTTATTTGTTTTTACCAACTCGCAATGTTTTGAGTATACGACGAGTTTTTACTTCACCCATTAAAGTTACATCTCTTTCTACTACTACATCATCATCTTTTTTTCGTTATCTGTCGTTAAGTCAGTTGTATCGTTATTCACTTCCTTTCTTACCATATCATCTATCGCACAGTCCATTCTTGATTTGTTTAGCATTTCTTTGCTCTTATAATCTACATTAGTCAACACATCTCTATCTGAATTAAGCTCGCAATCATTAGAACTTTTAATGACAGTTTAATATAAAACAGTAGCTACTGTTCGCTATTTTCTATTCATTCTGAACGTTCAAAAAACATGTTCTTGACGAATACTAAAATAATCCGATATCCTTTCAGGTTAGAGTTTTTGGCTATGCCTTGATATTCAGGACGGATAATTTAAACTATATACGAATAACAATGGCCAGGATCAATAAGTTAATAAGTATAAATATAATCCTCGGTTGGTAAGATGGCATCGGTGGTCTAGCGGTTTACGGCTTTACTTCTAATGGTTGCGGGTTCGATTCCTCGCACGGCGCAAACATTTGTATTCATGACTATGATTGTTTGTATCCGTCTGGGTGTTTTCTATGTATAATATGTATGTATTTACAAAAAAATAGCTAAGTATTTATATCCGTTATTTAGTACCCATAACACAAGCTCTGCTTACCATAGAACTAAATGAGTTAATTGTCCAGGAAAAAAATATTCTCCTATCGTTACAGAATTTTAAGTAACGATTTGTTACGTGTCATATTGGAAAAAAATCTCCATTGTAAAGGGAGGGCCTTTGTGTTATCGCATTAGGGGGTTTGAAACTGAATGTGTCAGGTAAAGCTAACTTGATCCTTTTTCTTGTTAAAAGAATTTCCATGTCATAGTTAGGTATACACCTACCCTTTATTCGTGTTTGATAAATTGTTGTCGGCTTAGAGATTCTTGCTATGGTGGTAATGATAGAAATCAATATCTCGTTAGTATTATGAATTTTTAAACGCACAGATAAAGACTTGAACCAAAATAGTGTCTTTTACAAAGCAGACTATTTCCTTGACTTGGGATTCTGTATGTATTAGCTCAAATAGTAACAATAAATTATTACTTTTTTTAAACTACGCTTAAAAGGGAGTGACATAGGATTATACAGATTATGCAGAGAACACAAAACAATAGTAATAGTATGCCGAATAGAACATTATTAAAATTATAAGAAGCATAATCAATGAAATTTGCTGATTGTCTGAAGATAAAAAGAAAAAAGACAAAACAAGTTAAATATAAACTCTTTGTTTAGTAATTCAGACTCAGACACTATTGTATTACAATAACATTTTCTCCAGTACCTAAAGCCATTTGTAAATTACTATTTAAAAGATAATGGATCTGCGATACCCGATACGAGTTAGTTACAAGCAAAGAGAGGCGAAGGCGAGGTTACTGAAGTGTTGAATACAGAATTTATTTCAGAGTATTTCATTGAATATATTGTATATAAAATATAATATTTAATATTATTGAGACTAATAAATATTGAGCTCAGTTTCTTTTATTCTAAAATATCGTATGTAATTTCATAAAATATACATATTTAATTATATTTACGTTTTATAAATTTTACCTCAAGACTATATGAATACGTTATTGTAACGGTTATAAGGCAGTTATAAAACTACATGCATAATATATTATTGTTAGACAGTCTGGTGCTAAACTAAAAAGTTATGAAAACTTATCAAATAATAATTATATCATTCTTATTAAATTTACAGAGCGCCATCTAGTCCCAAGCTGAGCAGAGCTTGTGTTATGTATTACTGAGAAAATTTAATCAGGTATCTAAGTAGAATCCAATCTATCAGAATTTGACATGGGTCGACATGGGAGATGCCATGATAAGGATTTCATAGAATGCATTAAGCATAGTGGTGTTTTATATGGATATATATCAAAAATGATATGAAGCAATAGACATGTAAATCATTTTCGAATCATTCTTAATTCTGTTACATAAATAAGTAATAATAATAGTCAGTTAACCAATGAACTCGTTTCGTTGAACTTATAATGATATAGTTTTGATCAGTAATTTTATTTTCTTGGGTATAAGGTATATGTGATGTAGTATAACTGCCAATATATGCATGTTTTATATATATATATATCGTTTTGAATTTCTTGAAATAATTATGACAAAAATGTTTAATGGTTTAGAAGAAATAAACGGACAAACTTTCATATTAATACACCGAATTGACTATTGTAGATATACTTGTCAAAATTAAAGTGAAGATCTATCCGTAAACAACAATGATGCCATGTAATATATATATATTTTATTGTAACTGACTAAAAAACCATAAATTAAATTAAAATTAACAAGAAGCTGACAGGTTTTATAAAAATAAATGATTTGATGAGTTGATGATACTTATAGTTTTAAAAATATTATTAATTAAATACTAAATAATAACAATTTCATTAAGTAAAAATAAAATTACTTGTATTTGTAACACAAGAAGAATAAGAAGATCTAAAACAGTACTCCTCACAGGAACAAAACAACTATGTACGTTCAAGAAACAACCCTAGCTTTAGTACAGTAGTAATAATATTTATTCCGTACAAGAAAACTGAATACTGTTCTTTGTTACCGATACAAGAAATGCGACTTTACCACTGGTAATAATATCTCTACCGACTTTCCTACACCACAATAATAAAAGTTACTTTGCAATTAGAGAGATTGTTCTCGCTACCATTGCAGTCTGAACTTTTCTCGCCACCTTCGGATAATAACTAGTAAAACTAAAAGTAGGTTAGGAGCAAATTCACAGCTGTCAAGTTATATGGTCGTTAAATTCCTAGTAATATGAGTGCACGAATATTTTTAGATCTTGAAAATGATAAATTTTTATTTATTACTACGCGGATATGTATAGTTTAAATATATAATGCATACATATATGTTGTCCAGTCCATTCTTGCGCCATTTACCACTTTCAGTTTTCTTTCCTCTACCAAATTTTAAATGAGATGGATATACTTTTTGTTCCACAATCAATATGCCTAATAAGACTACCCCATCCAGGATAACAGTGGTAACAATATATATATTATATATGAGATAAATTGTAGACGACCAACCTGGACACAATGATTTCTATTTTCATAAATACAAATAATACGAAGATATATCTCTAATAGTACATCTCAGATATTGCAACTTCTATCTTCAATCTTCTTCTCGTACAGTACAATGTTATAGAATATAAGTGTGACTATTAATGTCACACTTAAATTCTATGGCATTGTGTTAGTCTGAGACATACTATGTACGATTGTATATTTACGTCATGATATAACATATTATATCATGACGTAAATATACAATCCCGAATCTATCGTTTACAATATTATGTGTTATGTATTTTCTATATGCTAATCTTCAATTACTTAATTAGTCATCAAACATATCAATATTATTGACACGGCTATAATTTCTAAAGGTCTAAACTGGCCACTTTTTCATTGGGTCTAATCAAAGTTTCATTAAAAAGATCTTAAATATAATTCTTAATCTGGGTAAAATGAAAAAAAATATGACTATGTAAAAGTGCTTATATTCAGTTTATTTGAATACAGATTATTTCTGTTTCTATTTCTATTTGAATATTTCAAATAAAACTGAATTATTATTGATATATTTTATATATAAGCTTATTTACATGTAAATGTCTCTACAATCAACCTTCGTCACATCACATAGATGTCAACCATTTGATTCCATATATTACTTTACGTTATGTTTTAAAATTTAACAAATAAAAAAGCAATAGCATAGACAACTATTGCAACAATCATATCTATGTAGGTAGTATGTTAAAATTATACAGTACACAGTATTAAAAAATAATAACAGAGTCAAATAATGGAACAATTATCTCTTTAGCAATAATTCAAAACTATGAAGGTAACACGAATGGTAACATGAACTTCACTAGCTCATTTGTGGAGAGCCAAAGTTAATGAACGTAGACTTTAATTGAGTTCACGCTTTGATAGCAACTGCTTCACGCTCCTCGGTGCCTTGGCAAATTTTGATGTCTTTAATACCGACTGTAGTTGTAATTGTAAAACTTTCTATAATATCATCTTCTGAAATTTTAAAGACTTCATTATCCAAGTTATTTCAGTGACTCAGCGAGTTTCAATACATCTACTTCGTGTAGTTTATCTTTTTATATTTTAATAGAGTATTAATTTAAAACAGTACGTATGTACGTTTCCTGTTTTTGCTATTAAATTAGAATGTTAATAGTTTCTCATTGACTATTATACATAAAGTTTAGCTAATCGTGATAGTAACTATTGCCCTCATTGAGTACTTGCAACACTAGAGAATATTGTGTGTGTTGCTTTTTGGAACTTATTACGGTTTTATTCCGAAATTTTGTACTTATATATCGAAATGTATTTGTAGTGACAACTTGAAACTAAAAACTAATAAAGGTGATACTAATAAAGCCATACTAGTGATACAGTTTGGTGAGAATTGCTTGGATACGATACATCTCACCTACTTTTGATCAGAAATTGCGATATTATACAGAGTTTTATTAAAAGAATAAAATACGACTGCAATTTTGAGACAAAAGGCAATAAACATACAAAAATATATATTGTATATTAAAGCAGATACTGCAGTCTTTGTTATTTTGCATTAAAATAACAGCTTAATTCCTTTTTCCTTTATTACAATAACACTTTCTTTGAAAATAATGTTTTATACTTTAAGGTATTCTAGTTCTTGTTCGTTACTTTAACAGCATTTTGATATAAAAGATAGACATTCGTACAACCGTGGTCATAATAATAAATTTAATATAGACTTATCTTAAAAACTTTAAACATCATCGGAAACTGAATCTGTCAGATACAACAGAAGGCTGAATCCGTCGACAAAGTTACAAGGAAACGCTCTTAGAGTGAATAAGATTACGCGAACCTTATTCTATTGTTTACAAAACGTGATCTCTCGAGAGATGTAAGAGTATGTATTGGTGGAGGATGCGGAATTTTGTACTTGGAAACCACAATATTCCTATATATCTTGATAGTTTAGTAAGTATATCCGTAAAATAATGTGTTGGAGTAGAGCCATTGATTATCTTAAAAATTTGAATGAAATATATTCTGAGTGAAATTAGGGCATCATTTTGAAGGACAACATATATTTCCGCCATATTGTATTTATACATATATTTTTTAGGTATTTTACTCATTAATTGTACCTATCTTCTATCACGGTATGTTATAATGCAAATAAAGGATAGTCTATCTATCTACCTTTATATATATTAAAGGCATAAAACTGATTGTTCAGCAGAGATTAAGTATAAATTCCCATTATAGCCAAATTATGAATACTAACTATATGCAATTATAATAAATCATGAAGTTCTACAGTCGAGAATTGTTCTCTCGTTATTGTAAGATGATATGAATGCACCGTAGTTGTTGTTGCTTTGTAAAGTTTGAAGTGATAATGTACTACTACTATGTATACAATACATATACTACAAAGGGAATTCGTATCTTTTTTATATTTTTATTACTCTGTACTTCTCTTTGTCAAACATTTGTAAGCTAACTACTTTACTATTTACTATCAACTGCTTTAAGTATTTCTCATGGCATTGTAATTACACGAGAAATATCTAATATAATAGCAGTTGATAGTAAATTCATATCATATGATTATTAGTGTGTATATATAGTTGATAAAAATAAGTCGCTCCATAATTCCATTTTTTTTTCTACAATTTTGTTTTATGTACTAATGCTATTATTTACTCTAAGGCATAGATAGCATGATATAAGACATCCGCTGCATAACAGCGCCATATGCTTAATGTTAACACTTTTTTGCTAAATAAATGTATATTATTATTATAAAAATGTGAAATACCTTCGTTCATAGACAGCTGTTCCCATATAGCGACTTTGGTACCGGCTGGATCACTGAGCGCCACATACGCTAGTTCATCTCGAACTAAACGTAAGTCGTGATCTAGAGCCAGAATCCAGAATGTTACTGAAACAAATAAATATCATTAAATATCAAAAACTTCATTTTATTCAGCATAGGGGACAAACGAGCTTGCAGCTCACCTAAAGATAAGTGATTACTGCCGCCCATGAGTACCCCATGGGTACTTCAGAGGAATTAGAAAAGTATTGCCAATTTAAGAGGAATAAGTTCTTTTCTTGAAGGTTTCGATAGCGTATAGTGATTGCACAATATAGTTGGGCGTGGTAAAAAGTTTCTGGAAAAATGTTTATGGAAAATGGATGGTAAATCCTCCATTCATTCAGAAAATTAGGATCCTATTTTAGATTCTAAAACTTATTTTAATAATAATTTACTGTTACCACTGTTTTCCCAGATGGGGTAGTCAGAGACATTGTTAATTGTTGACGCATGGTTAATTCAGCACTTGATATGTCGTGATAGCATATTTAAATGTAACGTAACAGAATGCGAGTGTACTGCTGTACAAGTATATTTTCTTCAAGTATATCGATATTGGCTTTTCTATCACCGGAAACTTAACCAGAAATTCGAATTGAAACAAAATTTTTGATGCCAGTCCAGATTTGAACTCATAATCTTTGGGTCCAAATTTAGGTAGGTACTCATACTTATAAAATTTTATTTAAAAGCGATATTTATATTTTAGAGAACAATGATAGTAATAACCACCAGATATATACTAGAAATATCAACCACGTCAGTAGAATTCTTCCCTGTTTATGTACCGACTTATATAAGTAATTAGTCTTTTTAGGAAATCTTGATAGGAACCTCATTTATTGTTATTGAATATCCGTACTAATTATTTTATCTATGTCCATACTGTAATAATAGTATGAATACGGAAGTCTGTGTATTCGTTTGTTGCCTTTGCACTACTAAACGGCTGAACAGATCTAATGAAATTTGGCATCAAAATAAATTATATAACAATGACGGCGGACATGTATTTTAACTAAACGACAAGGCAAAACAGCAAGAAACAGAAAGCGGGTTAGTTATTGACAAAGAAACAAACATCAAGGTTCCTACTAAGTTTGTAATACAACTTTTAATAAAATATATCAAAATATGTCAACTGATCTACAGTTGTTGTTACAGAAACAACATTGTTATCTTTGTTGTAACAATTCTCATCTGAAGAAACAATAAATGTAACAATTCCGCTTAACATTAATTTAAGAATCGCATCATAAACATCTAATCGGAGTTGAACGTCACAAACATAAAACAGAACCGTAAAGCAACAAAGTAAAAATTAATGACAGAGACAGAAACATAAAACGGAGACTTCGATACGAGAGCGAATAAAGTTTTCGTATGTTCTGTTTTTATGACTGTAGCGGTAAAGACTTTGTTGGAGACGCTACTTGTTAATAAAATGTGAATAAAAATTATGATTTATCATAACAAATGAATTAAAATTCACCCTGAAATTATCATGGTACGCATCAAAATATGTAAATTAAGTCCTTAGTAGGCCTTTGTAGTTCGCAAACTAATTAGTTTCGAAGTACGTTCCCAAACACGAATTACGAGAACTAGTTCGCAGATCTTCTATTTAGCTCCTTTTAGTAAAACCAAAAATTTTTGCTATAATGAGTGTTCTTTTTAGCAAAAATTTTTGGTTCACGCATTATGTGTATAAATCATGTAATAATACTTACTTATAAGCCTAGCCAACCTACTGCCTTTCTCTGTCTACAGTCGGGAGAGAAAAGGCTAAAAAATAAACTAACGAACTATCTAAAGTTTAAAACATTTTGTGATGAATTTGCCTTTTAACATTACTCTAATAACCTACGGTTGCTTTTTGTTGTGTAATTCTGATAATATATATATGGCTTCCTCCATACTTGCATATTACTTTATTCTAGGATTAAAAAGGCGTAATGACACTTTAATTGCCATAACGCGCAGATTTTCATACTAAGTTATTATAAATAGTATATTAATATTGAAAAAGTAGAAGAGCCATCTTTATTCCATCCTAATACAACAAAGTAATTAGACAATCAAAACTTTTAATACCCACATAAATGCTAATGTCCGTTTTTTCTTTTATTCTTGTACACGGCTCTTTTTCTTAATATTTTTTTGCTATTTACAAATTACTTTTTAATTTCTTTTAGAAGTTTATAGACGAACGGGCGGAAATTACGTCCACAGGGTATTTTTATGACTTGTACTTTCTTTTTCTTCTATTTAGTTCATCTATTATAATAAATAAATATTATTTGGGTAAGTTCAACTAACATACTCAATAATGTAACTTGCTTAAATAAATTACCTATAGTATAAAATAAATCTCTAACATAAACTGATCAAAAACAAAACCTGTTTCCACAATAGAATTACTAATAAAGTATTCAGTGAATTCACTGATTTCATTCTCATTATTATATTCCACTGGTACCTGACTGCGTAAACCGTCAATATAGGTGTACCATGCCATCATTATCAAATTAAAAAAGGATAGGATTTATCGTAAATAATACAGTCGTATAGTCGTATATATTGTCAGTAATAGCACGTAATAGTATTCATGTAACTGAATGTAATTCCCCAAAATGTACATAAAGAAGAAAATTTTACTAATAATGTAAATTTTGTGTGGATGGATTTTTATTACTCTTTCACGCAAAAAACTACTGTATGGATTTTAATAAAAAAATTACAATAATACAGCCAATTTAGTAGAATTTAAGCGCGTGAAATTGCGGGCACAGTTAGTTAAAAATAATGTTTTAAACTTCATACAAACTGCGTGGTCACGTGATCAAATCTAATAAGTGTTTTAGCATTATGAGTATATATATACTGTACTATTCACCTCGGTAGGTATACCTTTTATGTTTTTTTAAACTATTATACTACTATACGCAGCTGACTTTTATAGCTTGGCCAAACTATATAGAAGCGAGAGCAGAAGTCACCTCGAATCTTAAGGTAGGACTTAGAAGTTAGCATTTTAGCGTCGGCTAAAAACCAATTTTTCTTGCATTTACGACTACTATGGTTATTATGGTCAGTGTCTATTATATCATGTATGTGTATATGATATAATAGTACCATATTACACATAGTAGGTATAGCAAGCTGCACAAATTGAAATTGAACAGCAATTTCTAGTTAATTTATAACTAAACGTTCACGAAACCAGTAGTTAGCAAAATGTATGGGACGATGCTTTGTAATTAATTACTGCAAGTAACACCCGGGATAGAGAACTTGAACGATAAAGGGAAAGTTTCAGCGGTTGGACAACTTTACTAAGGTTTATGTTTCAAATTTCAGGCTTTATAGTATCTGTATTTTTATACGCATAAATGAACTTGAAAATATATACATACTAGCAGTGCCCGCAGTTGCACCCGCGTGAAATATATAGCCCATATGTTATTCTGATTGTTGGCAACCGACCGCCGAACTCTTTTGATATTTTTATTATTTTTAAATTTATATTTTTGAAGAGTTCTTTCTTATATGTCATTTTATTTGATATATTTCAATTTATTTTATTTTTCTCTTATTGTCTTTCGTATAGTTCGTAACTGTACATATTAATATATTATATTATTGCAACGTGTTTTCATCATTTAGACACCCATACAGTCCACCGATCCATTACACTGATGTATAAGCAATATTACTGTAAAGATTTATCAAAATACTTTCAGTAATTTTTGCGTCATCCTCATAAACTTTCGCGTTTATAATACTATACTACACCTTAACACAAATATAATAAAATATTATTTGTGTTAAGGTGTGGTTGAGTGTTTTTTTAATGGATGATAATACAATGGTACTCTCGGCTGCGCTAACGGTCTACGCTGGCGGGGCCCAAATGGAGAATGCTAAGATGAGTATGATATCAGGTCAATTAAACCATCGTGGCAAAACAACCAGCAATTTATCATTATGGTTTCCAGGTGGAAGCGTGTGGTTTCAACCTACATGATATAATGCTAGCAATGGGATCATTAGTCTACAATACTAATAATAACTTTTCCCCTTGTGTTTGTGTATTAAGGCTACATGTAAAATGGACTGGGGGAATTAGAATAAAATTTTCACACAACGTTAACTATGAGTCAATATAAACAATTAAAAGCTAAAAAAAATAAAATTTATCAATTTTTATCTAAATAATAAATATATATAAATAATATTATATACATAATATATTAAATGTTTTAATACACTTTGTAAATTTATTTTTTAAAATTTACAAAGTGTGGTTATATGGTGGCTACAAAAATGGACACAATATTAAATACTAGCTGACCCGCGCAACTTCGTTTGAACTTACGCTTACTTGACATTTATAATTATATTTCTCACAACTTACATAATATTTTTTTAAAAATATAGCCAGTGTGATATTTTGATGTATAAGCTATATTACTGTAAAATTTTATTAAAATCCATTCAGTAGTGTTTGCGTGATAGAGTAACAAACAAGCTTATAGCCATAATATTAGTAAGATAGTAAGATTATAATCATTGCGATGCAACACTAAAGATTCAAAACACTATTTGAATACAGAACTCATTATTTATGCAAGTCATGATTATCACAAAATATATTCAACGTTAGTTACAAATTTTTTAACCTATCCTTATTTCTTAAAACATTGTAAAACTTGTATAATAAAGGTATGGCTGACTTGTATAAAGATATATGGCGTGATTCGTTTCAAAATATCCCGCAGTGCTTGCTTGGTATAAAGCACAGGTAAGATAATATTGCATAGCATAAGGTCTCCTTCATATTAATTTACGACACAATTTATTTATGTACTAAATTTCACTTAAATAAAGTGGCTGGATCGCGGATTCTAAGCTCCTTTAACATATGTAATACTAAATTTCATTAGAATAAAATGGATTGACCGCAGAATCTACGCTCCTTGTAAGGTCAACTATTAATAAGATGATTATTTAATCACTGCATAGTCTATCCACATGTCTATATGCACAACTCACCTTATTTTTAAATAGTTTACCTTAAAAGTAGCATCAGCAATTTTATTAATACAATTTTTTTTATTAATACAAACGTTCACATTAGAATTTTAATAGGTTTAAATGGCCAGAAAAAGAGAAAATAACCTTAAAATAATTTAAATATAAAAATAATGTTGTCAGTTTTAATTATATAATTAAATTCTTTTATACACATAATAATGTATGTATTTTTATATTATAAATATTTCTTCCTGATGTTCAAATGTATATAACATTTAAATGTCAGAAAGAAATTTGTCTGCGGTCTTTCAGCAAATTATCTCGTCAAAATAAAACAACAGAAGGCTAATTTAATTCTACTGAAAACGTAGAAATATATTTTGTTTCCCCTTATTTGGTATACAGTAAAATGTTATGTCAACAGAACAAACACAGAGTGTGAAAATATTTTATCTCCTTTCCTGTACTCACAATTTTCAAAACAGCAAATATTTTATTTATTTTGGTTTAACATATTTTCTGTTGGTTTGAATGTCTGTTGCTGGATGGTAATATTGATGTTAAAAACTCATATATTAATATAATATATTGCAGACATTTAGAAGGTTATTACGAAAATACATTTAAGGTAACAAATTTTTATATTTTAAATACGAAGTCAAAGTCAAAGTCAAAATAATATATTGATACAGAACACATTTTGTAGATTTGCCTAGATACTTAATTGGTACATTTATATTACAAGAACAATAATAACTGCAACTGAGTGTATATGATATGAAAGAACAAGTAAAATAAGTTCAAATAACATATTAGTTATAATATATATAAGTCCTCTATAAAGTACGCTGTAAAGGCCAGCTACGGCCAACGGCAATTACGGCATTAGAGTAGTCCAAAAAAATACTCACTTGTCTCTCCCGGCCTGTAATGATGTCGTGCAGGCCGGACAATTACATCCCTGACGGGACCAAGCAACCTGATGACACTGTGGCTTTTAGCTGTGCAGTCATCATTCCCAAGACAGCCCACTGTTGTATGTAGTGTGCAGTGAGTGGCTGGCGATGATGGTATCTTGAGAAGAATGATTCCATAGTCTGGAAAGAAATAAAAATATTGTTAATATTAAATTTTAAAGTAGAAATAGAAAACTATGAAATATTTTTTTTAAGATAGTAATAGTTTTTATGTTCTGGACTATATTTTTGCATGTAGACAGAACAGCAAAGTAAGAGTGGTGATAACCGTCTACTATATGTATAAAAGTATCACGGACATTACAAAATAGTATATATTATGGTTACAGTTTTTCGACACGACCTGCCTCGCCTGCAGCTTCGCCTTTTGTACACATCTTTATGTACAATAAAGAATTAAAAAAAAATGTATAATAACATTTTCAAGGATTAACTTAATATGCTTCCATACTCTAATTAAACTCACACACATCACGCTATATACTGGAACACAGTTTTTAAAAAGTTATTTTTTAAATGTGACTAAATAGATCGGGAATTAATTAAAAGAAACTTTGTATACTTCATTAAAAACCTTAACGAAGCCACGAGAGCCATCGATATCGATAATGAAAACTCTTGGAGCACATCCAAAGAGAAAATGTGGAAGTAATTCTAGGTACATCCTGATTTAGCTTTTAATTTGTCGACTATAACTATCGCCATGTTCTCCCTCATGAAAGGAATTAAAAGTAAAAAAACCTATTTAGACCTAACAGTTTATTTGGTAGTCTTTGTTGTCTCGTCTGCAGATTAACGGGACTGTTTATGATTATTTTCGTACAACCGTTATTTAAATTAGCCCCTTATTAATTCAATGAGTTCTTAAAGTTAATTGCAAAACTTTTCGCTATAAGCAGGCCTCGGAACAACTTTCTGTAAATTTATACTAACCACAAATTTTGTTGAGATATTATTAACATGCTACGTAGGTTGATTTATTAGTCTCAAAAGCTACGAATACAGAGTGTGGAAGGTAATTAAATTTCATTATACCGTATGTAGCTTTCCTCTTCAAATAATAATGTAATCAACATACATTATTTCATATAATTTAATTAACTCATATAATTCGTGAGAATCAATTGACATTAATAATACGGGAGTGATTAGAAATGTAAGTCTAATACTATTAGATATATTCGAGGCTATCTAATTATAGATTAATTGGATATTATATGATGACACTGTGTAACTGACTCGTTTATTTCCATAGAAGGATGATGTAGGCAATTATAGGACCTATTATTGCGTACATCATCCTTCTATGGAAATAGACGAGTCAGTTACACTGGCCAATTACTTTCATTATTAGTATTTTTTCTTGTACTGGTATGATATTTTTTACAGATGTTTAACAACATACTGGGAATAAAGCGTGAAATTTGTAGTTATACGCTGTATTATATAACTTGGCTTACCTACAAGAAACTTTATTAAACTCATAAATGCTCCAGTATTTCAATATATTACAATAAACTATTCTGTTATAAATATAATCTCTCTATTCACATTTTCTTTACCGCAATTATATATCTATGTAATTATTCTTTATAAATAGATTTTTTATTAAATATTTTTAGATGGAAGTTTCTGCTTTTTTACTTATCCGAATTCTGTAAAAACACAATCTTAAACAAACCGTTTTCGTTAAAACTCATAAAGCTTCTTTCTGCAACTTTACATGCACGGTATTCGAATTACTTTTCGCAGAATAAGTAAAGTTACGTCGGGTTCTTTGTGGAATAGAATAGCCAAATACATTAATATCAATAAGAGAAAAAAAGAACTTTTCAGCTGTTAAAATACCTGTCTAGTGAACAAATCTGTAACTTTAAAAGTCAAACGTCTATCTTCTAAATATATATAACTCAAAGGTGACTGACGTAGTGATCTATTAACGCACAGCCCAAACCACTGGACGGATCGGGCTGAAATTTGGCATGCAGGTAGATGTTATGACGTAGGCATCCTCTAAGAAAGGATTTTGATTAATTCTACCCCCAAAGGGATAAAATAGGGGATGAAAGTTTGTATGAAACTTTGTCAATTTTAAACCGATCGGGCTGAGACTTTGCATGCATAAAACTACTATGACGTAGGCATCCCCTAAGAAAGGATTTTGATAAATTCCGACTCCTAAAGAGGAAAAATTTACGCGAGCGAAGCCGCGGGCAAAAGCTAGTTCCTTTATATAACTCTAATGGCAAATAAGCCTACAGCCCAATTGCTGGTAAGTGATATCGGTCACCTAAATATATGAAACGCTACGTATAGCATATCATCATGTTACACGCGTGGTATCTATTGCAAAATCTTTTCACGTTTTTATGATATCGATTTTTATATTAATTTTGAACATCTTTTTTTTTTACAAAATTGACATTATATATTATTGTCAGTTTTTACTTTAACTGTGTATGTACATTATAAGTATTTATATTTTTTTCAGTTCAATCTTCTCCTACATACAACTCCACTCATCTATCGCCCATAGTTTGCATTATCATTCCCAATACCTACTATGCCACGTCCGTTAAACCAAGATACAGCTAAGCAAGCAAGTTGCTTGGCAGCTGAAATAAGCGAGACAGAGTTACCCACATAGACAACGTTGTGTGAAGTGATAATTTATGAAAATATAAACAATTATTCAACAGTCTAACAGAAATTACTACCATTGAGATTTCACTTCGCACCAAGAGGTCCACTTTCCGAAGACTAAGAGAGCAAGATTGATGACTTCCAACTCCCTTAAGAGACTTTCCTCGTTGACATCTGCTACTTAAGGACCGTTTCGATACTTTTTCACTTTGTTATTTCATTCTTAGTATTAAGATTAGATTACACTTATAAATGGTATAAATTTTAATCACTGTTTTCGTCTGTATTTTTATCTATTTTCGTGTTCTAAATCGTGCAACAGATTTTAATACGATTTACACTATATTTTTGAGAATTTGACGACCTCAATGGTCTGGTGGTTTAGCTCACTGGTTTACTTCCGTATGTCGCAGCTGCGATTCCTGGCATGGTGCAAACATTTGTATTTATAAGTATGATTGTTTGTATCAGTATGGGTATTTTCTATGTATATTTTGTAAGTATTTTTCGATGTATAGTATCCGTATCTATGCAGTTATATCAGTTGTGACTGGATGGCATTGTATGAATTGTCCAGGGTTATTGTTATTATTATTATTTATGAAAATTGTATATGTATAATATAAGCACATATGTAGTTGTACAACCTCCGTTACATACAGAAGTACTATGTACAGTATGCAGTTCGCCAAGTTGGGTTGCTAGTTATATTGGAGAGCATTGTAGATAATCGACATTTACATATTTATTTATAACATATGAAAATATTAGATCTGTGTCTTTTTAAAATAATAACATATGAGTACATACCACTCAGTATAAGTGTGTATATAAACGCAATACTTGACATGCGCACATTTCACTCAGCATATTTCTCAGTGTGAGATAAGCACCGTCTCTCGGAGTAAAATTTGATAGTAATATGAATTGTCATACAAAGTACTTTTAGTGTCTACCAGAATCGAACTCATATTATTTGGGCTGAAAGGTGATAGTAAACCACTACGCCACATACGTTTAATTCGACGACAATCTAATTAATTAGCTGTCAATCAAAGGGTATTGGAAACAATGGACCAATACGGCAGTGTCTCTAACATACTCTCTCTCTCTCTCTCTCTATATATATAAGTATAGGCACTAGGGGTGAAACAGACTTAAGGAAAGCTTTAGCTCTAGGTCACCAAATAGGTAAATCATTGCCCAATACCATTCTAATGTAAAACAAAATTACGACGGTCAAAGCTGAGATTCAAACCTCCAGCGGTGTTCTCAACTGTAATCTTATTCGTTTTACTGAAGTTGGCCTTCAGCTGTTTTGAAGTGCTCTCCCACATTAGTTCGGTGAAATTGTAAAGTTTGCAGTCAATGAAAACATCTTTAATTCCTGTAATAACACTTAAGAGCGTCTTGAACTAGTGTGTCGTAGTACTCAGATTTAAGGCTTAAAAAATTGTGTATCAATTTGTAACGGCTCTTCGGTAAAGGTTACACTGATTTCGTACCAAATTTATCAAACAGACTTCCGACTATATAATATCCTCAGCAAGAATCGACTAGATTTTTCTAGAAATTACTACTGTCGCGACTAAAACAGTAGTCATGCAAGCATGTTGTCATGTCAAAGGTAGGATTTCGTAATTGTGATAATTTAGTATAAAATTCGAACTAATTTCATAGTTAGAATTTTTTAACGATATTCATCTTAGACTACATATATATGTTTTGGAATATTGTAAATTTGATTTTAGGGTGTTGCTGCAGTAATGTGGTATTTTATATTATTATGTGACAACATTATATAGATTGTGTATACATGAATCATATCATACATGAATGTTGAAAATAGTATTTCAAACTTATCTTTACCAAAAACTATGCGTTCATAACAATAAGTTTGTTAAAAGCCACAAAGTTAGTCGGGAATGCTTAATACTATTTAAAATTAAACTGAATTCATAAATAGATAAAGTTCCTATTAAGACAAAGACTTGAACTTAAATAAATAAAGGCAGATATAACTGGTACGATGCACGCGAGTAATTTTATTCGCAGCATCTGTGTTGAAATCACTAGTGCATGAACTGATAGCGATGGAGAACGGCAATTTATGAGTTTCAACCATAAGAGCTTATTACTTGAATAGTTTTAAACTTCTCTTCAGTTTGTATATTTAAAATATCGATATTAAAGGACATTCTTCTGTATTGAGAATTCCTTTTATATTAAACTGTGTCTTTAGAACAGAATTTGCTGTGATTTATTCGTCCAACTACCGTCACAATAAAATTTATAGTAAGCATCTGAATGAAATTTCAGTGTTTTATTTTTTTATATTAAGATGGTGGTAATCAAGTATACGGCCTATCTGATGTTATATTGTTACCATAGATTATGAACGCCTGAAATACCAAGATTGTCAAGTGCGACCCTTAAGAAAACTTAATATACCCTTTCTGAAAACCCCATCCTGTAGT